TTCCTCACTCGCCTACGGCTCGTGAGTAAGGATTTCTCTCGAGTGAGTCAATTGCTCACTTTTCTCACTAGTTGCACAAATAACTATTGCCACCTGTTTCAACTACACAAGTTGGTTCTATGATATTAAATAACATTAAAAAGATATAAGGTTTACCAACAGGGTGCAGTACTATTAATTGTTTAAATTGATGACAACAGCTAACTTTAACCAAGCAGCAACAAAAAACTGTGATACAAAATGAGAACTGTCAAAGTAGGATTTTTTTCCTGAGGTATGTTTAGGTTATTAATTTAAGAAATCAATTTTGATACTTTAATCAGTTAATACTTTTCGGACCTCTAAAAGTGTATCTACATACGACAAATCTATGGAACATAATTATTCTCTTTAGCGTTCTCTTCCCGTTGCGAAGAACGGGTATGACTGCTAGTTAACCATAAAAGAATGTTAAATACAATTTTTTTAATCAGGATTAGTTAAATAAAATCACTACAATTGTTTGTACAATTAACAAATTATGATTATAGTACAGACAGTTGCTAATTGCTGCATTTACTTCCTTTTGCCGCACTCCAGTATTCTAGTATTCCAACCAAACAACAAAAATTGTTTAAAAAGCAACATTATTTGTTCTTATTTTTAACCTATAATTATAATTTCACAAGAAATAATAACTGTCCGGATTTGTTAACATCAATCAGTAGTTAGTTGTTACTTGCAAAAGTAAACAGATTTGTTTGTAATTTTATATCAAAATTCACAGAATCTCATTGTAGAAAACGTAATAACATGTATGTTTGTTAGTTATTAAAATATGTTTACTACATTACCTGTAGTATTTACTTGTCAAGGCAGACGTCAACCGATTTGCTAGAAATTTAATGTAAAATGTCAAAAAATCATGACTAAGAACGTAATGATATTTGTTTTTGTAAATCATCAAAAGTTGTACAAGATACATATTTATACTGAACACATTTATTATGAGTCAGTGTCTCTTGTTTCCGTGGATGTACGTACGCCCCAACAATAGGAGTCAGACCCGGAAAACAAGACGAATAGTGATAGTTGACAGATTCTCTGCCTCACTCTGACCGTTCCAAAACTTAAAATATTTTTAGAATGAACTTAAAATTTGATTATTTTTTTCGGGAAGTCGTAACAGTTTGATACGTTTGCCCTTTGCGGTATTATTAATATGGTTTACACAAGAATCTACAGAATGACTGTTGAAGTGATTGACTTAAAATTAAAGAACTACATTTTAACGTTTTATTTTATTTTTGTATATTATGATTTAGTTAAAATGAAAATAAAACGTTTAATTTATGTACGTTAGTTAGATGGAAAGTAAATAAAAGAAACGTCTTATAACATTAAAAACATATATTTACGATTATACTGTTACAAGACGGTAAATACACAAAAAAGATGGTAAATGGTTACCACTTACCATCTTTTTTGTACATTTACCGTCTCTACTTGAATACTGCAAGTAGTTAAATCTCATTCACGAGGAACAGGTGTACTATTGATCTAAAAGTCAATACTACACCTGTTCCTCGTGAATGAGATTTAACTACTCATTGGGAAGGATTGGATTAATATTCCAGCTCCACTCAATATTGCACGCAGAAAACTGCATTGTTGTATTTTCAAACCTCATTCAAGAAAGGGGTGGTGCCAATCTGTCGCGGTGCCAAGCTGACGGCGGCCGCAGAGGTGCCAATCAGTCGTAACAGTACACGACAGATTGGAACCTGGAGAAAGGGGTGGTGCCAATCTGTCGCGGTGCCAAGCTGACGGCGGTCGCAGAGGTGCCAATCAGTCGTAACAGTACACGACAGATTGGAACCTCTAGAAAGGGGTGGTGCCAATCTGTCGTGGTGCCAAGCTGACGTGGGGTGATATTTCATGGCCTCATGTCAACGAGGTTCCAATGTGACGCCGGGTGCTAAAACACCATGGTGCCAATCTGTCGTGGTGCCAATCTGACTGCGACTCGTCCGATCATGCTGGATCGCGAACTCATTCAAGTTTATCCCGCCTTACAACTTCAAACCAAATTTCATCAAAATTACTCAAGTTATCGTGTTCACGGACACATATATATATAAATCTTATATATATATAAGATTTATATATATAAATCTTATATATATTTAAATATATATAAGTATATATATATATAAGTATATATTTATATAAGTATATAAATATATATAAGTATATAACTTATATATATAATGTATATATATATATATATATATATAATGTATATATATATATATATACATATATAAAAATTTGAACGAATGGTGTTTTTGGCCTCTGGGGACATCAAAATGAAAAAGTAAATCGGTCCCGGGCCTAAGTCTTACCATGAGACCTACGGTAATAGCTACTTCCCTGTAGGGAAATTCGCTAAAAGGCAGAAACCAACCCATACAATAGATATAAGTTAACTCCAAAAGAAATAATTTTAAGAGTTACTGTGATATTAGGACTTTCCACTGATTTGGTAATAGAACATTATATTGCAAAACATGACACGGTGCAGGAGAAAATCCATTTTAAAATCAGAAAAACCCATGGCAAATACTGTATTTCATTTTGAAACATTCAATAAATTACAATTTAAATATTAACAGCTGTTTCATTAAAAAGTAGTGTGGAATTATGCATATGGCCGTAATGTAAACAAATCTGAAGAGGCAACTTTAAAGGCTTCTGGGACAGAGCCCCAAGGGAATTTACCTCGTTCCTCTTTTGATGGCTCATCTACAGACCAAGACCTTTCTTTGGAGACCCCTACCAAGTTTTTACGCCCAGCCGTTCTCTCAAATTAGTTGTGACAAAACCCCTGTTTTCCTCCATAAGAATAACATGGGATGGGAATTCAAAGGCCACTGGGGCAGAGCCCCAAGGGAATTCACCATGTTTCTCTTTTGATGGCTCATCTGCAGACCAAGACTTTTCTTTAGACAACTCTACCGAGTTTCTACGCACGGCCGTTCTCTCAAAATAGCTGTGACAAAGAAAAACAGTTTCTAATAGATTACAAGTACAGTAGAGAGAGTATAGTCAATTGAGAAGTGCATTGTTAATTCTGGCTCTATAAACGATTTAATTTGATTTGAACGATTTGTTATTCTCCAGATTCTCCTACCCTTTCCTCAAAATGTTAAGCAGTAAAATAATTTGCACTAGTGTACATGTTGCTCGAATTCGAGCAATTGCAAAGTAATATAAACGTGTTTTTAAAACGAATAACGGTCACGTTTACAATGAGTTTGAAAGAGTCAACACTCAAAGATTACCGGTGTGTAACTCAGACCATGACCATGTTTACCTCACCGATGTATAATAACTCGATATAATAACTGTTTAACTTATCGATGTATAATAATGTAGATTTATTATACATCGATGGTTTACCTTCGTTATTGATAAACCTAAAGCATTCCGGCCGGTTTTCCCCTTCTCAAAATGCCTCGCTGTACACAACACAGGTCATTGATATAGGGCCAGTTGAGAACGAAAAGTCGTTTTGAGGTAGTGTTAGGGCGCATTTGTAACCTAATAGTTGGATGAGATCACAGACAATGGAATAAACCATTAAAGCATTAAAGTATTATATTGTCTGTGGTTGAGATTGTCCAGGGTCAGGTACTGACTGTGATGAGTCAAGCCTACGCCACTGTTCTGCAACTGCGGTCGTTATCACGATTACGCCTCCTGACTATGTTTCGTTGTCGTCGCGTCGCCGCGTCGGAGTCATTAAAAAAAAACAACAAATAAACAAATTATAGCTACACAAATGAACAAATTTAAGTTACAATCATACTAACACGATCCGTCATACCGACACAAAACAACGATAAATACACAAATTTAAGATACAACCCATACAACCATACTAACACGATCAGTCTTGGGGGTTATGTTTACACAAACTCAAATAGTAAATAAATGTACTCAATGCGTTTCATTGAATTGAAACATAAATAACAGCAATTCAATTATACAGCTGATCAAAATGTAAACAATTATGTTCTTCATAAGGATAACATGGGAACTTTCAAAGCCACTGGGGCAGAGCCCAAGGGGCATTTTCAAAAATGTAAGGCCAGTTTGCAAATCTACGCGACACACTCTTTCCAATGAGACGTCAATAGATAAAATCGGTTAAGAAATGGCGGAAGAGTTCAACCGACAAAGTTTCATGTAGCGTATTAATTATATAGATAGGCTTTATTTTGGAGACTCGTGAGCAGAGCCTCGCAGCTTTGTGATAATGTTTTTCTTCTTTGAATGATACAAATTATATTATTACTATCCAATTTATACAGCAAAATCCCTTGGTTTTATCAACCTTATTTAGTTTTAAAAGTTATGAACTGGTGGCCGCAATTCTTGGTGGGCTGGCACAAGAATATGTTTATTGTGTAAATAACTGCTTCAGTGTAATCCAAATGTTGCTATAATGCTGCAACTAGTTTCAACTTTCAAGAAGTCTTCTTTAAACGTCAAAGGATATCATGATCACACAGTACATAGTTACACAATATTTAATGAAAATTGAAATAATAAAACGGTAACTATAGGTAGGGGGAATTATGCATAAAGGAAATTAAAATGAAATTGATGAAATTCTAATGATAGAACAATTCTCAGAAACTTGTTCTGATTATCTATTTTAAAAATATAATAGAAAAGGCTATGCTTGTACACTACACTAGGTATACGAACCACCAATCTACAGTCCTGTTTCCCAATCCCTATTATAAGGCAACATTGGTCACATGTAAGCCTAATTGTATCAGATCTAAACTTAACTCGTAGTTTGCAGACCATGTCAGGTGTTCAGCTCGTTCTGTTGAGTTATATTTGCAAACACAGTTATACGTTGACTTTTGCTTGTGTTAGTCACATGCGTCCAGTGTATTGGCTATTTGATCTTATCTCAAGTAACAGATGTATTTGCATATGACCAGGGGAGAGCATGGGGATGGCTACGCTTTTGATGGTCCAGGCCGCATACTGGCACACGCATTCTTCCCTGGGGAGGAGAGGGGTGGAGATGTCCATTTTGACGAGGAGGAAACTTGGCTTCTGGAGTATGAGAACAAAGAGGATGGCAAGTGTTAAAATATATCTGTACAAGAAAAATGATTCATCAATGTAAGAATGTGGCACAAAGTGTCTAGTAGAACCTTATACTGTAATTCCGTTTGGGAAAGGTTAGGAAAAAATAAAAAACAATGTCCAGAAAAGCAAGAAGTAATTTAGAGTGAAATAAATGCAATATCTATACCTACTATGTCAGAACCCATTTGGAGACTGAAAAAATTTAAATTTTTGTTACGGCACTGTCCAAAATATAATTTTGGACTCAAAATTTAGGTCCACCAATCTCGAAACCCAGCTTGGACCATCGTCTGTGTTGGTGAATTTCCTCCACTAAAATCCAACATTTGAAGATAATCTAAATCCATTGTAAATCAAAATGAAAAGATGATTGTAGAATCATGTTTTTATTTTGATGTACCATGCAGTAGTGTGTTACGGTATGTTGATACTTGCCTGGACTGTTGTATGATTGTATTGATCATTCTATTTTAATCTAACCCTTATAATACACCCCTATTGTTGGGCGGGTATCTATTTATTTACTATGGAACTCTGTACAATGTATGTTCTCACGAATAACATAAGAAAAACAGAACTATTTTCAGAAACATCACGTAATTTTCAAACTGAGGAAAAATACAAAATTAAGTCTCATACTATTATTGATTTATAAAACGTTGGGATTTCCAATGATAATCTGACAGACTTTTACCATGAGTAAGTTTTAAAGGCCCTAATAACTTTCATTTGATTTGTTGGTAACAGAAATGAACAAAGACAAACTGGGGCAGTTCTCCAATACATGTGGCTGTAGTGGAATGTAAACAAGTCTGTTGTGTAAAGCAGCTAAAGATACAGCATGCATCACCCGTCTATGTCCTTGTTCAAACTCTTTTATCCATCACTTTGACTTGCTTCAAAAACAGTGAATGGTTTTAATGTCTATTATGAAATGAAATGTTTATTTGTCAGACAGAATTTACATTACTAGTGCACCTGTTGCTCGAATTTGAGCAATTGCGAAGTATTACAGGCATATTTAAAAACGAATAACAGTCATAATTTCCGATGACTTAAAAGAGTCAACTCAAAGAAAATTTAATCAATCAACTCCACTCCAGTTATCGAAACCGAAAGCGAACGCTCTTTTGTGTATCATGTGTTTACTATGAACAGCTGTTTTAGTATGCAATTAATAAAAATTATTCGTCTGTTAAACAAAATCTTTTCTTCATAAGAATACATTGGGATTTTGATAGCCTGTGGCGCAAAGCCTGAGGACTTTTTTTACAGGAATCGGGTTTTTTTACACAAAAAATACTTAATTTTGACACATCATTTGTAAAAATCCGTCCATTATTAACGGAGGAGTAGTGTTTTGTCGAAATCGCCTTCATGTGATAAATCACCAGTAAACATATGACATGTCAGTTTTTTTTTTTTTACAACTAACATACATTATATCATACACTAGTGGCTTGCAGGGACAGAAGTCCCTAAAAAGCTCAAATGTAAACAAATTCTTGTAATATTATTTTATAAACAAAATTATATAAACAAACTATAAGAATTAAATGACCTTAGATAGTCATTGGTTGGGTCACTATAGATGCCTCTGTACAACACATCTTAAGTAAAAAAATTGTTTTCTTGTTATTTTCAAAAAATAATTTAATTTATTCCAAAATTTTATCTCTGCTAAAGGCAACAAACATATAATTATTTGTAAGTAAATACTTGTTTACTAAATAAGTAGCTTTGGTCTTGTGGTAATGATGATAAAAAATGCTTACCTGATTAGAATTCTAAACATTTTCTTCGTAAAATATGAAAAGACATACAAGAGTCTGTTGAGACGAGCTTGGTTATTACTAATAACAACCACATTAGCATAGTCACCCAGTTATTCTTTATCATTTCATACTCCTTTTGTTAAGTCCAACAAAATTAGTGTACAAAAGCACCCCTCCAAACCTAACCCTAGATTTATGTTTCTGATGAACTCATGAACACCCCAAGGTAGTATTCCTCCTGAGGGTGTTATTGACATTCCAAGGCGCCTAAATGTTCAGAGGGTTCATCGATGATGGTTTTGATCACACTGAAGTATTCATTTGCTTCTTCATCCACATTTTAAAGTATTATAGTAGTTTGATAGCGTAAAGATAGTGTTAACGACACGAGTAGGTACGAGCCTTGGTGAGTGCCTTAAAAACTTCTACGAGTGTAGTGTCATTAACACTATTTACGCAAGTTATGTACATTACTTTACCTACAACAGTGTTTTAATTACTAAAAATCAATACTCATAACTTCTAAGACAGGTTATGTTTTCATTTAAAACCTCTCATTGCCACTGACAGTGATACAACATTGTGAAACATTGTACCAAACACTAACTGCACCACTCAACAATTAAATTGGCCTGAACAGCTGATTAGTTGAAGTTTGAATCATTACAATTTTACTTCTTCTCTCTCAATCCTTGAACCTCATTGGTCCGTTACTTGTGTTGTTATGAGTAAAACTGTGCTGTTATGAAAGTAAACATTGCTGTTATGAGAAACTTTTCAATTCTAAGAACTGAACTGAAATGGCTACTTTAAAAAACGGTTGTAGGTAAAATTGTTAACGGTATTGCTTTTGTCATTCAATTGATAACATATCATGTTGTGTTTTTAATATATCTATATATATAATACGTGTATATATATATATATATGGGGTTAAAAAATCGAATCCGTTGTCACTGGTTAGGGTTCAATCTTTTCATCAGCATTGACACACATATTTTTTGTTAGTTTTAAGAAACCTAAAGAAACGTAGAAACTACCTCCAGTTCTTAACCATTCCCAATGTTTTGCACCATTCTTAAATACTCTCCTTCGTAGTCGCGGTTTTCCCCTAACACCATACGTTTCAACACTGCTTTACCATTCTAATCTAAAAACAGAACCTTAAAATCAATAAACAACCAAATACGCAATGTTTACATCAGCTGGTACATTTAAAACAGCTTATACAAAGACTGTAGCAATACTTCCATTAGAAAATGACTGGATCTTTGACGGCCTGTGTGGTAGAGCAGGGTTATAATTTTTGACACTTCTAAATGAATCCTCAACAGCCACCTGCTTTATCCTAGCTCGAGATATTTTGTTTATATTTCGTTATAGCACACAGTCTAGTGGGGTCGTATAGCTGCATATAGTGGCAGAATATTTCAGTTCTGGCAGAGAGGCTGCAATTTTAGGTGGTTATAGTATAAAAGTTTCTGAACCTAAAACCGCCCAGACCCCAATTTTTAAGGACCTCGGTCGTCCGTAATGACGTCATCAAAATGGCGGCCGTAAGAGGATGCTGGGTCCCCATGAATTGGCTATAACGACCGATTTTCATGAAATTTGGCACACAAGTGCTTGGATACATTATGTCGGCCTGGGTTGAAAATGGTCAAGTTTCATCAAGTCATTTCAAAATGGCGGCTGTTCAAAACTAAAAAAAATTATGAGGAAAATAATTGTGAATTGTTTTATACAGGGTGAGTTTTAAAAGAGTTCCCCCCCTACTTTTTTATACATTTCTTAAGATATCAACTTTGAACCATGTCAGATCATTGTCGAGTAGCAAGTACTTCATTTTGACTGGGTTTACATTTTTGGCCGCCATCTTGGATCCGCCATTTTGGATACAAAGTTATTTTTTCAAATGTAAAGATAGGGATTGTGACCCACCGTTTCAAACAAAACCTTTACGCTGAATACGATGCTGCAATCCGTTTAAAAAAATGTTGATCCATTCTAAAGTTATGAGAACTTTTTATAACTTTATTTTTAGTCCATTATAACATTGTGCATTTACAAACTAAGGCCATAATCTCAAAATAGTGCTAGATAAAGATAAGTGGACACCACCATTCATTGTTGACCTATTTTTACTCGGTTATGACGGATGTATTTTTTTCAGCCACCATCTTGAATCCGCCATTTTGAAATGTGATAAATTATTTTAAATATGAAGGTGGTGTTGTGACCCATCATTTTGAACTACTTTTTTATGTTGAATTCAATGCCGCAATCCGTTTTACATTGTCATGTTTGGTTTTTGAAATATTGACATTTTAAATCAAAATAATTGTTATATTTTATCAAGAAAGCTTGATAACTAAAAACGGATAAAATAAAAACTAGTCGAAATGAAGGAATCGCTACTCTACAATTATCTGACGTGGTTCGGAGTTGATATCTTAAGAAAAGTATAAAAAAGTAGGGGGGAACTCATTTAAAACTCACCCTGTATAAAACAATTCACAATTATTTTTCTCATAATTTTTTTAGTTTTGAATGGCCGCCATTTTGAAATGACTTGATGAAACTTGACCATTTTCAACCCAGGCCGACATAATGTATTCAAGCACTTGTGTGCCAAATTTCATGAAAATCGGTTCAGGCATTCGGTCGTTATAGCCAATTCATGGGGACCCAGCATCCTCTTACGGCCGCCATTTTGATGACGTCATTACGGACGACCGAGGTCCTTAAAAATTGGGGTCTGGGCGGTTTTAGGTTCAGAAACTTGTATACTATAACCACCTAAAATTGCAGCCTCTCTGCCAGAACTGAAATATTTTCCTGCTACCCAACCTGACTATTACATTTTCTCTTATTGATTGCCGGAATTTGCTTCAGAAATATGGATATGTCCTTTTATTAAGAGTGCTTGTTTAGTTATCTCAAAACTCATTTAGAGTTGTCCTTACCTTAATTGTTAAGCGTTCTAAGTCACATCGATTATGGGTAGTGAATCTGATAAATTACTAAAATTGAAAGTTACCACATCAGTATTTTTAGTTCTAACGTTAAAGAAGATTTGTTGCTTAAAATAGTTTATCTAAGACACACAGTGTAAAAGCCTTTAATTGTTTATAAGAATTGCTTCTGCTTCTTGATTAGTTGACATATTTATTTCCTTCTCCAATGATCACAAGGAGTCTACTGATTATTTTACTCTCTTTATGACATTATCTTTTTTTTTCGTAAATGATCTCTTAAAACTCAAATATTTATTCTTTATGCATTTTTCTTGGCTAGAAACACTGTGTAAGTAGTGGCTTTCAGCATGATTGGTAAATATTTCATCATGATGTTCATGATATTAATATCTGCGATACATTTAATAATCTTTTAATTTTTAATAGGCTAATTCCTTTACATCAGGGCTCTGAGTTTTGCAATCATTGTAATCCAGCTTATTAATTATCAATTAAAGCTAAGCTCAGTCAGCATCCTATCCCAACCATGTTGTGGGTGGAATTGTCTGTGGACTTATCTTTTATCAGGGGAAGTATCAGTCTGATTGTTTTATCTGTTTTCCTCTGATACTAGTTGGGCCAGTCAAAACGAATTTAATGAAATCAATTTCAGGTTGTCGTTAGGCAAACCTTATGTCTTTAAATCTACTTTTTACTTTTCAAAATACAGTTTTGAACATTGATGATTGTTACAGTGGATGGCACCCATGTGTTCATGGTGGCTGTGCATGAGTTTGGCCACTCACTTGGCTTGTCTCACTCAAGTGATCCGACTTCTCTCATGTTCCCTTGGTACCAGACTCTCAGCAGCGTTGGAACATTCACCTTACCTGATGATGATCGACGAGGCATCCAACAACTCTATGGTAAGTATCATCTTTATGTAGTCAAAACTTATTGGAAGTTATATTTAACTCCAGTTAGTTTAAGCCGGTAGCCATTTTCAAAAGTTCTCTAATTCACTCCTGTTTCAAAATAAGAATTTATGACAGCACAGTGTATTTACTTCTGAAAATGTGACATGTTTTTCAGGAGCCAAAAACCGATGGGCTAAAATTCCTACATACAAGCCAAATATGGAAGGCCAGCAACCCTTCAGACCACCGTACAGACCTACCAAAACCCCCAACACTGCTGCCACCACTCCAGCTTCAGCGGTACCAACCTTCAAAATCAGTAGTACCACTACGACACACCGACCGCACCACAGACACCACCACCCTACCTCCACTGCACCTGGCAAACCTGATACTTGCGACACCAGCTTTGACGCAGTCGCTGTTATCAGAAAAGAGACCTTTTTCTTCAAAGGAGAAGTACGTTTGATCAGTTTGTTTATTTAGTTATTTCTCAAGCTCACTACAAATTCTAACAATCAAACAAGACAACATAAGACACATTGAAATAAGAGGGTGAGAACGCACTACTACTGTAACACAAACCTGATATTAATTGGATTCAAGTTTATTGTTTTAATTTTTAGTCTGAATCTCTTTTGGGCTATTTGATAATACCTTATCCTATGGCCATGGCCAAATAAAAGTTGTATATTGCTCCTAATTGTTAATGGTTGTGATATTGTTTTGTTCTAGCGAATCGATCAACGTTTAAACAAACTCATTGAATATTGTCTAGTAGTCTTGGAAAACGTGTGTAAATGCTAAAAGCTTAGTGTAAATATATTCAAGCTATTGTTAAAAGTCCTATTTTTTTAATAATGAAACTGTACACTGCCATAATAATAACATTGTTGACTTGGATCAGCTTCCAAACAAACTCAAAAACAAACTTTGAAAAATCTGAAATCCTATGTCTTTTCTAGTTTGTTAACCAATCCTTCTTGTGGAAACACAACAGCCACCAACATTTCCTGATTCACCTAAATCAAATAAACAAGGTCTAGTCTGCACATATTTTAAAGCGAAGGCGAGTGAAGGATGAGCTAAGATCAGCTGGTTTTTTAAGCAGGATCATTTGATTTATTCAACTATTTGATAGTGTGTGTGTGTGTGTGTGTGAGAAGTATGATATTATATTAATTGTTGTTGTTGTGGCAGTACATGTGGAGGCTAGGTGACAAGGGGCTGATGGAAGGATACCCAGCTCCAATCACTCACCTGTGGAAGGAACTGCCTCGGAACCTGACTCATGTGGATGCCGTCTACGAACGTCTTGACAAGAAAATCGTCTTCTTTGTTGGTAAGAGAAATTGCCTGAATCCCTCATAACATAGACAAATTTATAAAAAAATAATACTCTAAAGCTTTAATTTTTAGAACAAGGTTACTTCCAGATTATCCTACAAAAAATCATAAAATAGTGTTTATTAATCTAATACAAAAACAACATACCTCAAAGCTGTACACAAAACAATTTTATAAGATGGTTGGTTACAAAGTATTCATAGTTTTTTAAATAAACGGTAACTTATCATCAATCTGGCACACTTTCTCCCAATAGCTTGTTAACAACAACATAGGTAAGCGGTGGAAGTAAATATGATATTTTATCCCCATACAATTTTTTCCCCAAAAACACAATGGTAGCAATAACTTAAGAACCATATTTTTTACTGCGACAAGGGTTGTACCATTTTGTTTCGAGTTAGAGGACTATATAGCACTACTTGATCAAAATTGGATTTGGGTTTACATTTTTATCATGAAAACTTGTCCTGCAGGACGAGAGATGTACGTTTTTGATGGTAACCGCCTGGAGACGGGATACCCTCGTCCACTGCAGTCCCTAGGTTTACCTTCCACAGTGGATCACATAGATGCTGCGATGGTCTGGGGATACAACAGTCGTACCTACTTCTACAGCGGAAACATCTACTGGAGGTTAGGCATTATAAATACATTAGAGTAAACTCTAATTTATTCTAAAGATCTAGCATAACAAACTAGAAATATCCACCTTTACTCCAACAAATTATTTACTGATTTTTCAAGCTTTTTAAAATTATGATGTTTTTAGAAGGCACACAAACCATGTTCATAGGTGGTACCTAAACCAAATTCGGGTTTCAATACCATAAATAAACAAAAATGAATTTGAATCAAATGAAAATCAGGTTTATAAAACACTGGACATAACCTTATGGCATTATGCATCGTCATCGTCACTGTCTGAAGCTGTGTCTTAGTGGCACAATCTAAGCTAGTCGTCTGCCAGGTTGTCTCTAGTAGTTGCATACAAGCAGACATCATTAGAACTTCATAATATGTTGTTTTACACAATATTGGGCGTGGCCATGGGTGGTTACGTCGACCAGTGGTTATATCAAGACAACTATAGGTCGATGTACCAAGGCTAGTTAAAAGAGGATGATGTGATGTAATGATAACCTAATACCTCAATATTTTTAGATGAGATTTTTAGCAGATTTTTGTTATTGTATGGTAATTTTTGTATTATTAATTAAATGGAACTTTAAAAAACACCCAATCTATTATGTTAATGTTATTTGTTTAAAGTTCGAGCTAGTGAAATAATTTGTTTATGTTTATGATCCACACCATTTCACTTCTAATATCAGTTGTTGACAGTTAAGAATAGTTCTATCACCTATTTCCTGATGAGCTGTATTCGAGTCAGCAGCTATCTGATGCCAAATTCATTTATGTTCAAAGTCATTTATGTGTCAAATACTGCTTCCACAAGGATTGCATTGAAACTTTGAGACCCCGTGGGGCGGATTCCTGGGAGAATTTTGTTGTGCCATATAGATATTTGATATCACTGGTATAGTCATTATCACCATGCAAAATTTGAAAATGATTGCTTCAGTCGTCTAGGAATTAATATTATAATAATTGATATTATTCTTTAGTGTACTACAAAACGCATAATAGTCTACGAGTAAGAGGTTCTCTCGCTGCGCTCAATTAAAAATGCATTTAATTAATACTTTTTTGTTTTAGGTTTGATGAGGAAGAGAAGCACATAGAGCTGGACTACCCAAGAGAAATAACCACAATGTGGAAGGGGATGGGCTCACATTTCGATGCAGTATTCCAATGGAAAGATGGTAAGTTTGCAGTTATAGTCAAATTAAAGTTCATTTTTAGGTTAAAATTCTGATGTAAAGTTAATTTGATCCACTATGGGTGTTTAAGCTTTATAAATGTTATTGGTCAAACTAAAACAAAGAATTAAAGAACACTACTTTTGAACCTACGACTGAAATCTGCTTTTGATTAATTAAAATCAACACGAAACTACATTCAATTGGTTTTGATATTGACGTTTGGATACATTATCAATAATCAGGATTCATTGCTGTTCCGTAGGGGAATTAGAACATTCCTATCATGAAATTGTTTTTTTTTTTCATCACATTCTCTTCCAACATTCCAACAGTTAGATTCCTCATGATTGTGAATCAATTATTTTGAAGATTGCAGTTGAAAGACACTAATTGCATTATTTGCGCGCAAAAGCAAATATTCGGTGAAAATTGTTTAGCCTGTAGTTTTTAGAAGTAAACTAGCTCCATTGAAACTCAAGACAGTCATTCTCAATCTTATCTGTTTTGATATGATTCAACAACTGTAACAACATTTACTAGTCTTGTTCTTTTTTTTACCAGGAAAAACATACTTCTTCAAAGGAAAGGGTTTTTGGCGACTGAACGACATAAGAATGCGAGCTGAAAGCGAACAACCAATTCCTTCTGCTCCGTTTTGGTTTGGTTGTCCAAATTTCACCCTAGATATGAATCCCACTAAACTGCCCAAATTCTGGGGCAAAAAGTGGCATGAAACAACACAAAAAGGTGAAAACAGTCCCTATTCTTCCAAGGCTTCTTTCTTGTCTTTCAATATCTACTTGTGTGCTGTTATATTATTTTACCACCTACTTCCAAGGTGAAATATGTTAATAAGTTAGCTTTATTTATTAATTTTTGTATTACAGCTTTACTATATCACATTATACTAAGTTATATGTAAATGTAAATTTGTACTTACAAAAGCAACTTTTAAAACCAGTTACTTTTTTGAAAGCAGTGCAATGTGTATGCACCTATTCACTGCCCAATGTGATTTGTAGGGTCTTATGAAATAAACAATTGGAAGTTAATATCAAATATAAAGTTGTATATAATTTATGTTTTATACTTATTTTTAGGGCCTATTATCATTATGTTTAAGTACTGGTATACAAAGATGATAATTTTGTTTAAAGTTTACACCAAAATGTAAGGTTTTGATTTTTGATGTCTGAGCTATCCTTAAAATACAAATTGACTAAATATTAGATTTAATAAAAGATCTCATACCACATATTTAACTACTACTACAACAGCAGTAGGTTGTATGATACTAATGTCAATTAAGTTTGTTTGATTTCTTGTTTTAAAACAATTTTTATAGTAAATTGTTTAAATTCTTAGTTTTAAAAGACATTAAAATCCTCCTTATGGTTTAAGGTAACATCTTTTTAACATTATTTTAACAAATAATTCTCAATCCAAGACTAAAATATGATTTTCCTATAAGTATGGTACTACTTAATTTAATTCAATTTTATACCATATAATTTGCAAATCTTGTCTATTTTATCAAATCATAGGGTATGGTACCATTTTCAATATTCATGGAAACATGCTGATGCTATTAAGAGTTATTTATTTGTACACAAAGCTCTGATACGATCCACAGTTATGTGAGTATCCTGTATCTACATAATTCATAAGGCAATATTAAAAAAATAATATTAAATAATTCTCTGGCCTTGTTTTTTTTCTTTTCTTCAGACATTATATCCAAATTGATTAAATATCAAGTTATGAAAAACATTTTAAGAACAACTCATAATAGAGGTTCTACATTGGAGTGTATTCTATAATATAAACAAAACAAAATAACTTATTGATAGAATTATCCAACTTGTAAATTCTGCAGTAAATTTGCTTGTGTGTGATCTTGTTGTGTGATTGTCTTGGCACACCGCAAGTGGTCTTACCTAATTGAGTGAATGTCCATTCAAAAGACTGACTTTTGACTGATTTTTTAGCGACTTTGATGAAGAAAATGTATTCCTGTTGATAACATACAAACTTCCTCCGTTTTCAGTTTTTGTTGTATAAAACTGTCTTTATCATATTTTTCATGATATCCACAAGTTTTGTACTTATCAATTCTATTTTACGTGTAATATTTTGTATCATGTAAATGTATTGGCTCAGTAAGGTTGGTGTATGTCTGGTAAGATCACAAAAACACTGATCTTTCACACTAATTTACAATTTTAGTTTGTTGAGTAGAGTGATGTTATCTATTTTTACATCAAGTATATTCCCTGACACAGTACTTTTGTTTTATTACTGGTGTACATTTTGTAGTCATCCAACCTGATCTGTTTCATACTTGACGTTCTGATTCAATACATTTTGCACCTCTCAAAAACACATTTCAACAAACTGTTGTCAACAGGAAAAAGATTTTATCAAGCGTATAAAGTAAGTTTGGAGGATATTTTTGAAAAAAGTATTGTTAGACGGTTTTTAATGGGTATAAATAATGCTACCAACGTTGTAAAAATGTAAAAATAACAATCTACTGCCATCATATAGTGTCAAGTAGCCTAACCATATGTAGTAGTTTTGTGTGTTAAATGTGTCATCTTGTAATATAGTCTAAGATATATATCCATTATAAGTATTGTTACATTTATATTTTTAGCACTTTTCTATAAATCTTGTGATATGTGATTTACACATCTATTATATTTTTAAGGTGACTTGTGTAAAAAAATATTTATGTACATTTTTTACAAGGAACTATGCAACGCATTGTGTTTATTTAAAATATACAAATTATTTCAAGTTAATTTATATTTTCTTCCTACAACTCCCAACAAAATGCACATGGTATGCTTATAGCTATTTACATTACAAGTGTAGTAAGAGCGTTTTTACATCACGCAGGTGAATGTTGTGCAACGAGCGGAAGCGAGTTGCATAATTCACCTGAGAGATGTAAACACGCTCTTGCGCAACGTGTAACGTACAAGATTTTACCTGACTCGACAATATACAGGAGGTTACGAGCAATATGCTTCATTATCTATTTCACTTATCGTCTAACAGTAACGTTCTTTTACAAACAAAAGCTAGGTTAGGAAAAAACTTTAAAGCATAACAATAACATTCAAGCGCACAGCTGATTTCTGGCGTTGAACGTCGATGCCTCCATAGAGGTATATTTTTTTAAGTTAAGCACTCAATGTTATTTAAATGGGTTTCATTACATCACCGAGTGAGTTTTTTTCAACTTTACATCACTCGAGAAGTAAGGAAGTTGTATACATCACGCTTAGGGAAGTTTAACATGGCGGGTTAGGTAAAATAATAAATATATTTCATTACATTGTTAATGTTAGAATAATATAAATGCAACTTGGTTGGATGATTATTATTATACCTTGCAGTGCAGCAAAATATTTTCTAGATGGTAAAAAAATACAAACAACAGCATCGATTTTTGAAATTAAATTTAAATACTTTTTAAATTAAATTTAAATACTTTTTATAAGTACACAATAATACAAACCCCCGTTATATTATTGTATCATTCTAAATATTGCATTTAAATAACTCGTAGTAATACAAATACCATTGGGTATTACTAAAGCTGATTAAATATAACAAACAAAACATAATGTAGTTTTAAACATCACACTTGGAAATGAGTGAAGGTTATGTGGTCTTGTTTGTACAGCCAGTTTATGTCTTACAAAACAATAACAAAATATCAAACAACATATAAGTATACTAGCTGCTATACCTGTGCCTTGCAACGGGGTCAAGATGTAGAAGAGACAATTTTGGTTCCTTGAAAATGCCGTAAAATGGTTGTTTTTTCCTCCATTTAATTTGAAAACGAAATTCAACTGTAGCCTACCACTTAACTTGATAACAGTCCGTTTGTGTTAACTCAGACTGTAACCACTTATTTAAGCTACCTAGGGTGGTGTAAGAGTGGTGCCGATGCCCACATAAAAATATTACATGTAGACCTATTGTTTTAAAAATATGCTTACTAATAAGTATATTTACTTTGAAACAAACATTTTTGATGTCAATTGTTAGGTAAAACAAATCCTAAAACTAAGGGTAATGTGGTGAATAAAAAATTATTGCCGATTGTTAAATATCACATAAAAAAAGATACAAATAACCCAAATGCTTTGATTATACGTAGTAAGGCCTCTTTCCCTGATAGAACAGGTCCATAATTATGAAATCCACTTGTATAAAGTGCAAGAATCATTTCGTGTAACAATTGCGGAAACAACAATCTATATATTAATTTGAAACTGTTTTTCTTTGTCACAGCTATTTTGAGAGAACGGCTGGGCGTAGAAACTCGGTAGAGGTGTCTAAAGAAAGGTCTTGGTCTTTAGATGAGCCATCAAAAGAGAAACATGGTGAATTCCCTTGGGGCTCTGCCCCTGTGGCCTTTAAATTCCCATCCCATGTTATTCTTATGGAGGGAAACGGGGTTTTTGTCACAGCTAATTTGAGAGAACGACTGGGCGCAGAAACTTGGTAGGGGTCTCTAAAGAAAGGTCTTGGTCTGTAGATGAGCCATACAAAGAGGAAAGAGGTCAATTCCCTTGGGGCTCTGCCCCAGAAGCCTTTAAAGTTGCCTCTTCAGATTTGTTTACATTACGACCATATGCATAATTCTACACTACCTTTTAATGCAACAGCTGTTAATATTTAAATTGTGATTTATTGACTTTGTCAAAATGAAGTACAGTATTTGCAATGGATTTTTCTGATTTTAAAATTGATTTTCTTCTGCATCGTGTCATGTTTTGCAATACAATGTTCTTTTACCAAATCAGTGGAAAATCCTAATATCACAGTAGATTTTGAAATTATTTCTTATGGAGTTAACTTATATCTATTGTATGGGTTGGTTTCTGCCTTTTTACCACTTCTTGGAGATTGTACGTAGGTGATATTCTTTGGCATATTGTATCTGTAGACGAAACTTTGGTTGGTGTAATTATTACAATGGAAAAGAGCGAGAAATCCTGGACAATTTGATATAGGCTAAAAATTAAACTCAATTAACACTGTGCTACATTTCTTGAGCAATCATTGAAATAACCGATTTGCAAACAATGGAAGAATAGAAAAAGTCATAGAACACAACCAAGTAGTAGAAATAGAAATAATGTTTTTTTCACACTAAAAACGCTCAAAAAACAAGATTAACTTTTACAAAAAGAGATAAGATATTTACAACAGATTTTGATTATATCTAACTGTTGTGTAGATCGTGAGTATTTCCATAATCTTTGAGTCGCCTGTAATGCTTCGCAATTGCTCGAATTCGAGCAACAGGTACACTAGTTTTAGGGTATTTCAAAATACCCTACAACTTTTTTTTTACCAATTGTTACATGAAATGCTTCTTGCATTCTTCTTTTTTTTAAACGAGCCTGCTCTATGAAACTTATTATGATATTTTTCCTGTTTAGCTTATCAAATATATCCTTGTTGTTAATTACTACACAATTTGTTAATATTTCATCCACAAATAACTTACAAAGAGTTTGTTAAAATTGGCAAATCTTACAGCAAGTAAGTGTCACTTTGACCGTTCCAAAATTCAAGACCTTTAAATTTACACTCTTGCTATTGATTATAGAAACACTATTGATATTGATTTTAGTGAGTAGTCTGATAAATTCAGGAATCCTCACACTACAGGTTGGCTACCTGAGTGCGTAAAAGCATTTTCCCTGCTATCCCTAAAAACATTTATTATAGAAAAATAACATATTAATGTTGTCCAATGATTTTAGAAACAAAAGTAATTTGCAAGCAGCTTAATTTTAGCGAATTTCCCATATAGGGAATAAGCTATTACCGTAGGTCTCATGGTAAGACCTAGACCCGGGACCGATTTACTTTTTCGTTTTGAGGTACCCAGAGGCCAAAAACACCATCTGTCCCAATTCATATATATATCTATATAATTAATACGCTACACGAAACTTTGTCGGTTGAACTCCTCCGCCATTTCTTAACCGATTTTATCCATTGACGTCTCATTGGAAAGAGCGTGTCGCGTAGATTTGCAAACTGGCCTTACATTTTTAAAAAAATCCCTTGGGCTCTGCCCCAGTGGCTTTGAAAGTTCCCATATTATCCTTATGAAGAACATAATTGTTTACGTTTTGATCAGCTGTATAATTTAATTGCTGTTGTTTGTTTTTCAATTCAATGAAACGCATTGAGTACATTTATTTACTATTTGAGTTTGTGTAAACATAACCCCCAAGACGGATCGTGATAGTATGATTTTAACTTAAATTTGTGAATTTATCGTTGTTTTGTGTAGCTATAATTTGTTTATTTGTTGTTTTTTTTTCTTTTAAATGCCTCCGACGCTACGACAACGAAACATAGACAGGAGGCGTAATCGTGATAACGACCGCAGCTACAGAACAGTGACACGTAATAGGCTCAACTATTAGGTTACAAATGCGCATTAACACTACCCCAAAATAACATTTCGTTCTCAATTGGCCCTCTATCAATGACCTGTGTTGCCTGTACAGCGAGGCATTTTGAGAAGGAAAAAACCGACCGGAATTCCTTAGGTTTATCAATAACGAAGATAAACATGGTCTGAGTTACACACCGGTAATCTTTGGGTTGACTCTTTTAAATTTATTGTAAATATGACTGTTATTCGTTTTGAAATAACTCCTGTAATACTTTGTAATTGCTTGAATTCGAGCAACATGTACACTAGTATATAATTAATACGCGAACACAAAGTTTGTCAGTTGAACTCCTCCGCCATTTCTTAACCGATTTTATGGAATGACGTCTCATTGGAAAGAGCATGTCGCGTAGATTTGCAAACTGGCCTTACATTTTTGAAAAAGTCCCTTGGGCTCTGCCCAAGTGGCTTTGAAAGTTCCCGTGTTATCCTTATGGAGTACATAATTGTTAACATTTTGATCAGCTGTATAATTTAATTGCTGTTATTTATTTTTCAATTCAATGAAATGCATTGAGTAGGTACATTTATTTACCATTTGAGTTTGTGTAAACATAACCCCCAAGATGGATCGTGCGGATAGTATGGTTGTATCTTAAATTTGTGTATTTAGGGTTGTTTTGTGTCGCTATGACGGATCGTGTTAGCATGATTGTAACTTAAATTTGTGCATTTATCGTTGTTTTGTATAGCTAAAATTTGTTTATTTGTTGTTTTTTTCTTTTAAATGCCTCCGACCTGACGACAACGAAACATAGACAGGAGGCTTAATCGTGATAACGACCGCAGCTACAGAACAGTGGCGCGTAATAGGCTTAACTCATCACAGTCAGCACCTGACCCTGGACAACCTCAACTATTAGGTTACAAATGCGCCCTAACACTACCCCAAAACGACTTTTCGTTCTCAGTTGGCCCTCTATCAATGTCCTGTGTTGCCTGTACAGCGAGGCATTTTGAGAAGGAGAAAACCTGCCGGAACGCTTTAGGTTTATCAACGAAGATAAACATGGTCTGAGTTACACACCTGGAATCTTTGAACACCGGTAATCTTTGGGGTTGAGTTGACTCTTTTAAATTAATTGTAAATATGACTGTTATTCGTTTTGAAATAACTCCTGTAATACTTTGCAATTGCTCAAATTTGAGCAACATGTACACTAGTATAAATAAAATTAGAGTTTTGTCTGTACATTGCTCAGAATTATATATTTTTAGGTTATTTTTTGTTTTATACATTAAAGAAGCAGAAACAAGTCTTATCTCTATTTCTGTCTGCCTGTCTGTCTGTC